GCGTAAACACCTCAAAATAATCTAGCCCAGGTTTCTGAAGAAAACCTCTAGCTACTAGTCTAGCTTTGTGCTTGCCAATGGAACCATCTGGCTTAAGTTTCAACTTAAAAACCCATCTGACGCTGATGGCTTTTTTGTTATCTGGAAGTTTAGCCAATTTCCAAGTTTTTTTTTCTATTGCCTCAAGTTCTTCTTTCATGGCATTAAGCCATTCTTTCTTTTTGAGAGCTTCTTCAATGCCCACTGGTTCAGAATCTACTAACATGGAACATTGAACGACTTCTCCTTCAGAGTCAACTTCATTATCCTGCAACATGTCAAAATCTGCAAACCTTCTTGGTTTTTGTCTGATTCTCTGTGGTCTTTGAGCTTGTTCTGAAACTGCACCAGAACTACTACTTTCAGAGTTACCACCTTCAAAGTTTTCCCTTCCAGAACTATGATCACCACCAGATTCTAGATCATCATCAGCATCTGGATCAGAATTAGATCCATTTCTTGAATCTTCTTCTGAGTCATCTTCAGAATCTTCAGGATCAGATTCATCTTCTGAACTTTCTAAAACATCTTCAGAGGCTAACTCTGGTGTTGGTATTACACCAGAATCTGATTGAGATTTGTTCCAATCCCATGCTTCAGACTCTTTCACCACAACGTCTCTGCTGACATCAACTTTATTAGTTTCTGGACAATAAAGCTTATATGCACCTGTACTGTGGTACCCCACCAGCAACATTACTTTGCTTCTATCATCCAGTTTTTATCTTCTAGCTTCTGGAACGTGTTTGTAACAGACAGAGCCAAACACCTTCAGATGACTGACACTCTGCTTATCTCCAATCCATTTCTCTAAAGGAACAACTTCCTTCAGTTTCTTCGTTGGACACCTATTCAGAGTATATCCTGATGTGGCAACAACTTCTCCCCATAGCACGTGAGGTAGCTTTTTCTCTTTCAGCATGCTTCTGGTCATATCAAGCAAGGTTATGTTTCTTCTTTCAGCAAGACCATTGTGCTGAGGAGTATATGGAGCAATAACCTCATGTTCTATTCCACTCTCCTCACAGAACTTTTGAAACACTGTAGAGTTATACTCACCTCCACCACCTGTTCTCAGAATTTTTAACTTCTGACCACTCTGCTTCTCAGCCTTCACTTTGAATTTATGGAACTCAGTAAACACTTCATGATTGAACTTGATAAGTGTTACCCATGTCATTCTTGTGAACTCATCCACAAAAGACATAAAATAATTGTTTCCTCCAAGTGAAGGTACTGGAAATGGTCCACACACATCATAATGTACTACTCCCAGAGCATGCTTCGCCCTGGGGGCTACTTCTGATGTAAATGGCAATCTATGTTGCTTGCCTTTCATGCATATCTCACATGACTTCTCAGGCTTCACAATCTTCGAAATACCATGTACAAGCTTCTTAGAACATAGATGTCCTAAGCTTCTATAGTTCAAATGCCCCAACCTCTTATGCCACAACTTACTGTTACCTTCAGTGACTTCTTCACTAAGACACGTTGCTTCAGATGTTTCTACATTTACCTTGAATGTTATGTTGCCTCCTTGTTCAGACTTCATAATTAACTTCTGATTGGAATCATACAACGTCAGAAGATTGTTTTTCATAACAACTGAGAAACCTTTCTCAATCAGCTGACCTATGCTCATCAGATTGCTTCTAATACCAGAAACATACCAAACGTCTTTGATCAGAATGTCTTTCCCATTCTTCACTCTAACTATGTCATCTCTCATACCTTCTGCATTAAGATACTTATCGTCAGTACATCTGATCTTTGTTCTCCTTCTAGAGTCAAAGTTTGTCAGTCATTGTTTGTTTCCAGTTAAATGATTTAAACAGCCAGTGTCCATATACCACCAATCTTCTGAGCATTTTTCATCAGAATCAGAAGCCATTAGTAGTACAGGTTCATCATCAGAGTTTCTCTTAGCCATATATGCTTCTTCTGATTTCCTTTCCTTGTTTGATCTACAATCTCTGGCAAAATGGCCAAATTGTTTACAAGAGTAACATTGAACCTTCCTTTTGTCATACCTCTCCTTTCCTTTATGATATTTCTTATCATCAGAAGTTGAGGCTTATGACTTCTGGAATCTATCACCATGTCTATTCTGCTTCTGGTCTTTCTTGACAAAAGAAGCCTTCAGAGCTTGCTCAGCTTCCCTCTCAGAAGTTCTCTCAGACAGACGTAACTCCTGTGCTTCTAAGCTACTTTGCAATTCTTCTATTCTCATGGTTTCCAGATTTTTAGAATGTTCAATAGAAACAACAATGTAATCAAACTGAGGAGTAAGCGACCTCAGAATCTTCTCTATGATTACCTGTTCAGACAGAGTTTCTCCACACGTCTTCATCTCGTTAGTGATCAGAATCACTCTGGAGATATATTTAGAAACTTTCTCACTGCTCTTCATGTTCAGGTTCTCATATTGCTTTCGTAAGGATTGAAGCTTCACCTTCTTTACTGATGCGTCACCACCATAACATCTCACCAGTAAATCCCACGCCCCTTTTGACGTTGTTGAATCAGCAATCTTCTCGAACACACTTTCATCCACACACTGATGGATATAGAATAGAACTTTCCGGTCCCTTTTCCTCATCATCCTCTCAGTAGTTCTCTGTTCTTCAGTTGCATCTGCTGCAGCTGGTACATAACCATCTGTAACCAGATCCAGAACATCTTGTGCACCAAACAACACACGCATTTGTATCATCCATCTGTTCCAGTTTTTGCCATTAAAAACTGGAAGTTTGGTGTTCAAACTACTGTCTCCACTCATTTTAAACCTTGCACGGATTTTCAAATCTTCAAACACACTGTTTTCCAACCCACATAATCAAATTCTGTTCAGATTTTGTTCAAGATTTCAACAGAAAAAACAATGAACCAAAATCAAACACACAGCTCACAAACACTCGTGTTTCCCAGGAAAAACAGAACCAAGTGCTCTAGATACCAATTTGTTGGTGCAAAGTAATAAAAGGAGAGAAGAAGAATGAGCAATGAATGATAACAAAGAGGACTACTATTGTATATCAAAAGAGGAATGAATGAGTTACAATATTGATAGTCTAGGTAGCATATTTATACTAAAAATGAAAATGCCAAAAGATCCTATTAAAGAATAAGCATTGGAATATATAGACATTAACTAAATTATATTTCTAATACCATCCAGACTCGATTAACAATGATCTCTATTATCCTATCAACTATATGAGTATCATTATTATCCTGTTTGTGTATCATATATATCGTTCCTCTTTCTCCAAACAGCATACACTGTTTCAGTCAGCACTATCTTTAAAATCTTACTTCTCCAATTTTTACTTTTACACACCTTAATAGCCCACGAAAGCTCATAATCCCAACCTTGCGCATTATGCTTTATATTCATTCATCTTAGCACACTCTGCCATATATCTTTTGTTTTCCTGCACTCAAACAAAATATGATGCATATTTTCCATACAGCCACAGAAAATACAATTAAGATCAGTTTGAATTCCAATCTTCAACAACCTATCCTTAGTGTTGAGTCTCTTATGGCAAACTTGCCACAGCGTGAACACAACCCTACGTCTAGCACCATTTTTATATAAGATATCCCTCCACTTGACTTTATGCATGTGCTTTAGGAATCCCATATAAGACTCTCTCATTTGGAAACTGCCAGTATTTCTCAGATCCTCCCAATGTTCATACTAATCACCTCCTTTCTCTGCTTCATAATACTTCTAAGAATCCATGAGCCATTATCTTTAAACTCCATTTGCATTATAATAAATAATTATTATTAAATATATTTATTAAATATGTTTATTAAATATTGATATTTAGATTTAAATATATATATATATATATATATATATATATATATATATATATATATATATATATATATATATATATATATATATATATATATATATATATATATATATATATATATATATATATATATATATATATATATATATATATTTAAATAAAACTGATATTATAAGCTAATTAATGAATACAAGTTTTTTAATAATAAAAGTTTTCAATATACTATATAATAAATATTAATTAAATATGAAATGAAAATGTAAGTGTGATAGAGACATTTAAATTTTCAACATAACCTTTAAAAAATATTTATTTAATAAATATTTATTACATGTTAATTAACATTTTATTATATTTAATATTGTAATATAACTAACATTTTATTATATTTAATATTAAACATGATAAATATGAAATAAGTTAATATTATTAAACAAAATATTTGTAATTAACGTTTTGTTTTATTTAATTGATTATTAAATATTAAATAAATTAAAATATTGAAATAGACAGAGATGATTCAAGATTAATTTTATTTATTCATATTATTAAAATTTGGACACTCCTCATAATTTAAAATTTGGACACTCCTCATTTTTAATTAGTATCATTTACCTTTGTTTTGTACCAGTTAATAACTATGATATAATTTGGATTTCACTGATTCTTGCTTTTAACCATTTATTTTATTGTTGTTCATATTTTTTTAGATATTCATGTTAGACAGGGTTAGGAAAAACTGTTACCATAAATAAAGAGGTGAGAAAAGTAGAACACTGTGATGATATTTACAACAATTTAAATTTTTTATTTTGCCTTCTGTTTCAACTCTTTTTTTTTATTGTTTAATAATTTGTCCAAAAAAAGATTGGATTAAAACCTATCGAAAAATAAACGTTTTAATTATAGAAAAGAAATTAGAAAGAAAAATAGCACAGACAATTCAAAACTTTTAAAATTGTCAAAAAATTGAATTTTTTTTTACTAGAGTATACCCAAAAAGATATGATGAAGAGATAATATTTTGATTTGTATTATACTATATAGTCTATACCTAACTTTACATTTGCAACATCTTGAATATCTTTCTACTAAGATCCTTGATTTCCCTCTATGCACCTATGAACCTTAATCTGATTTTTGATCTGCATCTGCTGTGGCTTGAACTTGAGCTGCATACTGTAAGTTCCATAGAACATCCTCAAAAGAAGGACGAGATGAAGACTCTTGAGATATACATTTTGTTGTTATAGATATTGCAATTGATAATGATTCTTGACAACATGTTGTCAACACTATTGGATCCACAATCTTTCTTCTACCGTCTTCACTTCCAAAAGATGCCTATCATTCATTCATAACATGTTCATGTAAAACGAGTAAGAACGGAAACAGAATTCGATACTTCAAATTCATCGCCATGTTCATATATAGTGTAGAGAGATTTTTTACTAACCTTTTCATTTAGGAAATATGTTTCTCCTTTGTCACATGTAATGGGTCCAACAAGTGATTCCAACAATATGAATCCGAAATTGTAAACATCGTTATCAGTTTTTGTCCTTTGACTGCAAAAAAGATTACTTGATGGGTTAAAGTAACTGACACTTCAGATTGAAACCGTGTCTGTGTCTAATATTCGACACACGTGGTATCAGAAGGATTAAGGAAAATATAGTATCATACCATGATTTTAACTTCTTCTCACTCTTTGTCTGCACACAAACATAGTCACTCAATGATCGAAATCATATTAGGACATGATAAATCAAAAATTGAAAAACAACGTTGGATTAATTGATTAAAACATACCTCAAACTTTTCGATATCTTCTTTGATAATGGACATACCATAGTCACTTAGTTTAGGAATGCAGTGTTCATCAAGTAACACATTCTTTGTTTTTAATTCGTTGCTAAAACATCCCGGTATAACACCAGTATGTAAGAAATGAACTGCCTTTGCAACACCAATCAAAATCGCTAGTCTATCGGGCCACTTAAGTGCTTTTTCTGCAGAATATTCTGCATTTTTGCATGAAGAAACATTAGAAAATCGAAGCTTGAATGTGTCAGGTGCTATCGGCTATCGCCATAGTATCTTAATTAACCAAAATCACGAAAACATCCTCGAATCTCGAATGTGTCTTTTAGTAGTCAGTGTCTTTTAGTAGTCAGTTTGGTTTATCAAATTACTATTAGAAGACACACCCGGAGATGTTTAGTAATTTTGATATATTTAGAGACTCCGGAGACACTGATCAACTACAATGTCATATACTAACCTGATAGACGAGTATGATAATCTCCGTTTGGCACATATTCATATACAAGATGAAGTTTTTGATTGCTCGAATCATCTTGTACGCCGCCATCAATGCAATGACCCAAAAGACTAACCAAATTCGGATGTTCAAGCTTTGAGAGTAAATCCAACTTAGCTTTAAGGTTTTGAATTGAACATTTCTTTGACAGAACAAATGATCTTATCACCACATAAGCTCCATTTTCTAGTTTACCTTTATACAGCTGAAATAAAAAAGCACTTATTATGAGTATATAAAATAAGTTTGATAAACTTTCCCTGTGAATCTTCCCTGAAATTAAGGTACCTTTACTATGGAGCCATCACCAATACAAGTTAACAAACTAAAGTTTTTGGTAGCTTCCTTCAACTCTTGGATAGAAAATTGTCTATAGGTTGGACTAGTTTGTGTCCCTAGCTTCACTGCTTGAGAAATAATTCCTGAAAGAATAAGCGCTTATCATATACATGTTCATATAAGACTGTAGTTGTTTTCACACAAGCTGTTTTCATAAGCTACCCTAGGAAACTTACGAAAATAAGCTGAAAACGACTTATAGACATGTCATAAGTTGTTTTCATAAAAACTTTCTAACAGTTTCGCAACTGCTTATGCAAATAGATAAATTCAAATAAGTTAATTCAAACAGGCTTCTCACAAAAAGACTGCGGCATAACCGCAACCACGACTTAAAACCTATTAAAAGAACTATTGCTTAAGTAACTTATATACTTACTTGCATCTGCAAGAACTTGTGATGAAACACCGGTTGCGGATTTATCTAGAACAATCTTTACCGACACATCCTTTCTACATTTCTTCATGAAATGACATTTTTTACACACAAAAACTCCAAACACCAAAACCACAAGAACAAATCCAAAAACAATAGCCAGTAATGCTATCACTTTCAATATCATGAATTTCTTCCATCTGGAACCAAAATCCTTACAATAAGAACCTCTCTGCTGATTCTGAGGCTCAACAGATAAACAATTTCTACCATATCTAACAACTCTACCATCAGAACTATTCGCTAAACAGGGAGGAAGTAAACCACTTAACCTGTTGCTAGAAATATCGACATAACCGAGTTTTCCACCACAATGAAGCTTATCAGAAAACTCACCACTTAGCACATTGTTTGCTAGATTCAAATAACTTAAATTCGACAGAGAGAACAATGTCGAAGGCGGCGTGCCCTCAAGACAATTTGACGAAAGATCTAAATGTTGAAGATGATTCAATTCGCCCAACTTCTTCGGAATCTCTCCCGAAAATGAGTTATTGCTAAGCAAAACCGTGACCACGGATTTCGGCAGACGCGGTAAATCGAATTCGAAACAGTTTTCTCTCAAATCCAAAACATGTAAACCACTAAGAGATTCAAAACTAGGCAATTCGCCCGATAATTCGTTTTGCGACAAAGAAATCACTTCGAGTTTCTTGATTTTACAAAGCGAAAACGGAAATGAACCCTTGAAGTGATTTTTCTTCAAACTCAAGAAAGTTAGGTTAAACAAAGAATCAAACCAATTAGGCAAAGTGGTGTTGAAATAATTTTGATCAAGTGATAGTGATTGAAGATTCACCATTTTTGAGATTTTTGGTGGAATGGAACCATATATGAAATTTGAACTCAAATCCAAAACTTGAAGCAAAGTAAGAGATTCAATCTTATTAGGAAGCTTCCCCCAAATCCCTAATGAAACCAAAGTAAGAACCTTTAGGGTTTTCAACTTTGTCAATGTCATGAAAAATGAATCAATTGAGAAATTCATGGATAGTGTTTGATTTGGAATTGCAAATCCATTGAAACTTAAGGGTTTCAAAGATTTATCACCAAAAATTTTGAGCTCAATTATTGAATTATCTTCACATTTAATGCTCAAATTTGAAGATGAAGGAAGATAACAAAAATCAACATTGTAATTTTCCATAATTTGTAATGAAGAAGGAAACTCCAAAAACATTCTTAATTCTAACAAACCTTGGTTTTGATCTTGTTCTAACTCATGACTATTTGAGATGAACAATAAAAACCATGAAAGAATCAAAACATCAAAGTAAAAGTACCTCATTGAATCACCAACTTGAAAAACTATAATCAATCAAAGTTCAAAGATTTTCAAAGAACAGCATAGATAATTTTCAAAAGGAAACTACTAAGAAGGTAATGTTGTTACAAAAGTTGAAACAATGAATCACTTGTTATGGAAATTTTGATGATTTTTTAATGATGGGATGAATGAGGACAAGTGAAAATGTTGTACCATGGAAAAAGACAACGGCATTTATTTTAGTTTTTTGGTACAAAGACAGAGGCATTTATATTAGAATTAATGGAGAAAGCATAGTGGTCACAAGTGGATAATGTATTAATAACTATTGCAAGATAGATTCACCTCTTAAAATAGTAAAGAATCTGGTTTATATATATATATATATATATATATATATATATATATATATATATATATATATATATATATATATATATATATATATATATATATATATATATATATATATATATATATATATATATATATATATATATATATATATATATATATATATATATATATATATATATATATATATATATATATAAGTTGTTCAACAAATCAAAAACTCAATAGTAGTAATGTGGAGGGAGTATTATTATAGCAAAGGTTGTTGACACTTATATTCAAGTCAATGCATTTTTAATAATAACATTAGTTCTCACAATTAATCATCATCAATTAAAGAAGTACACATTCATGTTATTTAGAAAATCATTATTATGGCATTTGAGTTTATCTCAATCATATAATTATCTCAATCATTGTTATTTTAATAGGTGTATGTACAAATGAAGCTCAATTGATTTGTGAATGAATTTTTCTTTGGTGATCATGTGTTTATAACAGTGTTTTAAAACCCAGTCCGACTTGGTCGGTCGGACCGGTCTGACCGAGAACCGGTGGGTCAGACAGTCCAATTAAGGGATAAGATCGGAATTACATTTAGATTGGATGAAATCGGTGTGAATCGGCCGGATCACCGGTTAAATCAATGAACCAGCTGTTTTTACTGAACCGGCGGGTTTGACTATTTATTTTATTTTTTAGGATTTTTGAAAAAAAAATTAACATAAACGCTTTGTCTCCTCGTTTCTCAAACCTAGGCATTTGAAAAGTTTTCTTTTTTATTATGTCTTATCTTTTTCTAATTGAATCCAGCTTGTAGATATAATGATGTAGAATTTGAAAAACATGCCTCCACAACATCAGGACTTTTAGATGTCATTGAAAAGCATGTTAATGGAAATTTTGAACTTCGATTAAAGTTAACAGATGAGATGAGAATATTCAAAGACGGTGAATTAGATTTTGGAAGGAAATCAGTCGTGGATGAACGATGTATTGAGAGGGCAGGTAATTTCATAACTTCTAACTCTTGATATATATTTTATTTTATATTTCAATATGTTTATAAATTTATTTAATCACATGATATAAACAGATCAATGGTGGGAAACTTATGGCACTTGTACACCAACTTTGTAAAGGTTAGCTATTCGTATTTTAAGTCAAACTTGTAGTGCTTCGGGTTGTGAACGCAATTGGAGTATATTTGAGCATATTCATTCCAAAAAAAGAAATAGATTGGAGCACCAAAAACTTAATGATTTAGTATTTGTTCGTTACAACTTGAGACTTCAAAATATGTATTATTATGGTTATTTTTCTCTGATCATTATATTTTTATATTTAAATACATATATTTAGATTTAATTCATGTGTGCTTAGGAAAATAAGAAATGAGAGTTATGATCCTATCAATATTGAAACAATTGCCGACCATTCTAGTTGGGTATTAGAGGATTCACCACCTCTCTTAACCAATGAAGAGTTGGAAGCATTGCGGAATGACCTTGCAAATATGACCTTGCAAATATAATCATCCAACCAATTTCAAGTGATATTGGTATGTTCTAATATGAGCATAATATAGTTTGTGGTTGTGAATTAATTTAATGTCTCATATTTACCATCTCTAAATTTTTTTTGTTAATTATTTTTTAAAATATTGTTATAGATCAAATAGATTTAGATGAGGATGAAGATGGAGATATGGGTAATGCACAAGATACTATTGTTGATACTGTGAATCAAGAAAAAAGAAACAGAGAAGATGAAGTTGGTGGAGAAGACAATGAAATTGAAGATGAATTTGAATATCAAGATTATGACAATTTGACTTCATGGACATAAATTATGGATCGTTGAGTATGAATTTTTGTGACTTATTATAATACTATAACTTATGAATTGTTAAGTTTCTATCATTTCTTTGAATTTATAATTTGCTACATTAAGTTTCTATCACTTATTTTAATTGTTACTAATACTTTTGTTTATTCTAAATTATTTGAATTTATAATTTTCTATATTATTATACTTACAAATTTCAGGTAATGAATATATTTTTTTATAGAAACCGGGTCAAAAGTCATGCGGTCTTGACCAGTGACCCACTAATCCGACCAATAATTCAGTGACCTAGTAACTTTACCGAGTCGATCACCGACTTGAATTTTAAAATATTGGTTTATAATGTGTCTCTAATCCTTTTAATATTTAAGACTTGTTAAGAGTTATTAAGATGATTGTCCTAGATTAAGCCTCATTCATAATGAAAACTGAAATAAGTCTTTATTGCAAGATTTTGCAATATATTATTATCTAATATATATTTAATGTCATCTATATAAAATAAGATTAAAGGTAAATAATCTTCCAAACATAAGACATATAGGAGTGAAATATTTTTTTTATAGCTTCAGTTCGTCTCTACTACTTTTCCTTTTGAATATTACCCGAACATATATTGTTGACGAACATAAATAGCACATATTCTCTTATAGTACAAGTTAGTATGGCTTTTATTTTATTAAATTTTAAAGCATTGTAAAGCTGTTAAGCCAATAATTTCTCAATCATAGAAAGAAGGGAAAAACATGATCCATCATATTTTATGGATGCCATTAAGGAATTCGAATCCAAGAAAAAGAAGACATTAACAAAAGAAGCAAACATTTGACCGTTAAAAGGATGGGGCATGGACAGCCTGTCATATATATATATATATATATATATATATATATATATATATATAACATGACACCACGTGTTCTCTTTCAATTCCCATCAAATGTTTGAATTTCGCACTTTATTTTCTTTTTCTTTATTCTCATTTTTGTCCTTTTCTTTTTCTTCTTTTAGTAAAGACCCATTTTGATTTCTAAAAACAATATTTAATTAAGATTTTTTTTTAATAATAAAATTTGCTCATTTATAAACTTAATTGCATTTTAATCCATTTATTTTTATCATATTATAGAATTGGTCTCTTCATTTTAAAATACATTTATTTTGATCTCTTCTTTTAAAAAAAATTATTTAAAAATAATAATAACATATACATTTTAAATAACATAAGATACGGAGGAATATAATCATTTATAAACTTAATTAGTAAAATATTATTAATTAAAATATCAAAATGATTAATTTTTATCTTTCTCGTTGTTTTCCTATTTTTACACTCTTTTGCATTTTTTCGATTCTCTTTATATGTTATGAAGTTTCTTCTAAGGTTCAGGAGGTTCAACTTTTTTATTCATCGAAAATTGCAGATATTTCAAGATAATAATCTTCCTTTATATATTTTTGATTGTTTTGCGCTTGTTTTCTAGGTATGACAGCTATAGGAAACTCATGTGCTTTGATCATGAACATGGTGAGAGACGATGAATTTAGTAACATGTCCTCTCAAATTGGGCAGAAGTAATATACCCAATAGGTTTAGAAGTGTCTTTCGACGAAGGGTTAGAAATTTAGGAATTTGAACGAGAATAAGGTAGAAACTAATGGGTTTGTTGGTGCTAGGAACCTAAAGATAGAAATTCTTGATGTGAGAAACCTATCGAAGATTAGGAACCCAAGTACTACTACTAGCGTAGAGGGGGAGACACCCTCGTCGCTATTGGCATCAAGGAGGTTTCTAGAGGGTTCATTTTCTCGTCTTTATAATTACCAAACTAGGAATATGTAAATGATTTCAGGAATAAAGGATAGGCCAAAACCTATATTATAGCACACATGCACACTTTTGATTGTGATCTTATTGGTAATGAATTCAAATGGTGGATAGAATCACAATCACATGCATGTAATTTCTATAGTTTTTTTATCTCTTGGGAGCAGAGCGACAATGGTGCAAGAAGGTCAGCAAAGTGGTGAGACTCTCGAGGTCATATACCAACTCTTTTGGATAGATCCAGAGATATTGGAGATAACTTATATTTTTCCAGTAAGCATGATTTAGAGATTTCATTCACCGGTGTAGGTTCTTCCTCTTATTGGGGAGAGTTACCTCCTAAAATGATAAAAGATAATGGAGTTGATATGCTTGATGTGTCCCCCCTATACAAGTTTATTTTCTTTCAAATGGGGTTCTGAATCCCTTTCAACAATTTTGAGGTGAAGGTTATTAACCATCTTATAACCCCCCTTCATAGTTGCACCCTATGAGTTCAACCTACGTTAAAGTTTTTTAATACTAATGCAAATACAAGAATCATTCCCCACTTTGATACTCTTATTCCATCTCTACTGAATAAACTTCTGCTAAGTCAGGTTGGGGTTAAGGGTTGCTCTCGTTCAAGCAGAGCAAGAAGATATTTGAAGTATATATATATATATATATATATATATATATATATATATATATATATATATATATATATATATATATATATATATATATATATATATATATATATATATATATATATATATATATATATATATATATATATATATATATATAGTGTCAACAATTTTAAATATATGTACGAACTAGTTACCCATCTCGATCGTACTGCTCATGGGAGCTGTGAAATTCAGGTGAGGCATCCTTTAAGATGTGTGACAAATTCCTAAAGTTATAGCAACAAAATCCTTTTTTGGAGGGATCAGGTTTGTATATATATCATCCCAATGACCTATCTTTAGAAGAAAATTATTTG